AATAATATGTAACACAAGATAAATATTCATAGTATCTATATTATATTATATAGCCAATCACTCTAAATACCACCAAAAATCAATAATAATTTATACAAATGCATAATATTAAATTAAAATTACTGATTACTATATTTACATAATATATTCTTCATGCGCATAAGCTAAAATAAAGCAACTGCACTGGTTTTTTTTTCTAATTTATCAGTTAAACACAATACCCCAAAAAATAAAGTAAGGATAAAATAATAGTTTGGTAGGTATTCTAATAAACAATTATAATTATTAGGTAACTGGTAACTGGTATCAATTACATCAAYAAGTTCCTCATTTTGTGTACTAATATAAAATAATTAAGTATAAGGTATTTATATTCTAAGACCAGAGGGAATAAAAATAAATAATACAAACATATTATAGTTTGTAAAATATAAGGAAGTATTGCCTATAATTGTTACAATAGGTAGCCACCTCTACTAATTTATGTCTTCATTAATTAAACYTTTATACATCTTTCACCTGCTATATTTTTAATGAAGATTTTATAGAATAACAATAGACGTTTAAAAYGTCTTTGATTACTATGTTATAATGTTATATTATGTAACAATAAGACCTGTWTAAAAAATAAAGAATTTTGTAATTTTTTCACATGGCTAAAATTTCGGATTATTAATTTACTAATTAGTAATAATTACTTCTAGATGGTTAATACACATATCTGTAAAAGTCCTTAGCACGAAACATTTAGCACTTATGTATACACTTATGCATATATTGGCTATATTAATTGGTAATATACTAATACATAATAATACGTGTAACTTTATTAGTTATAAGTAGATTTACTAATAAAAAACTGTAATATAACATATTGTATTTATCAACAAAAAAATATATATACTTGGAAATTGCAGTAAATGTCTTCTTTTATAGTTCATAGTTATCATAACAGCTAAATCTAAATCGAAGTTGATACTGAAATTCGAAATCGTTGCTATAATATACATCGTACGTATAGAAGATATAGGTACGTTAAAGTCGTTATATTTTAAGTATACATCTTCTTTTTYTTATTTTGTCGTATAAGGCTACATGGACTGCCATAAAAAAAGTTTAAACGGTGTTCCTAAACCTAATATTATATTCAAATACAATACATATAAGAATAAATACAATATTGTGAATTAAGCCACAACTAATGACATATATTAATAATACGCTGCAGTTCTGTAGGCATATAGGCAACACAACCCTATATTATTGAAACTCAAAGCTTAAAAAAATATATTTAAATGTATACTAAAAAAAAATAAAAGTTTTTAATGCTTTTAATTTAGAGAGGAGCGAGCGATAAATGCATTGATTTTAGAACTTTTTGTTTTGTGCCTTTATCACCTTTNAATATGTGACGACCTTAGATTGATTTAAAAATTTAAAAATTAATAATTTGTTTTATAACTTTTTAAATATTTATAATTTCTAAATTGCAATAAATAATAATAATAGGTAATACAATTTATAATGTGTGACAACCTCTTAGATTGATTTAAAAATAAAATAATTTGTTTTGTAGTTTTATATAAATTTGAAATGTCTAAATTATAAATTGTAATAAGAATAACTACCTATTAATAGAYATAATTCATAATACTAAAATGACGTATCACCAATGAAAAAAAAAGTGAGCTCCCCCCCCAGAAAAATTTCTGGATTCAACACTGTTTGTTAGCATAATATATCTACCACATCTAATATAAATTCTACCTCTATAATAATAATATCCATGAGGCTGTTTTCCTTTTTGTTAGAAAATAATAAAATTTTATAAATTCTTCAGATGGGATAACGTTTACGTATTTATATGACTATAATCTAGTCAAACGAGCAAATGAAAGAGACTATGTGGATATCGTCAAAAGTGAACTGAAGTTTGATGCCAAAGGAATGAAATTGAAATTAGATAATTTATTCAACGGAGACAAGCTATTGGGTAAGTACTATAAGTACATATTGTATATAGGTAGGTAATACAATGTTATCTTGTATCGTATATTGGCATGCGTCATGTAATGTTGCGAGTTGTGACTCCGAATACTATTCAATAAACTTTAAAAATAACACCGAAAACTATATTATAATATTTATAATAGCTCATATACATACATTAAAATACACGCGTAACAAATTATTTAAGTAATATTTGATGGTATACCAACAACCTATACCCAATTGTAATACTATTTAATTAATATATAGTAATAGTATGTAAAACAGGTAAGTACACTTTTTTTTGTGATAGCGCATATAAATTATGTATACCTACCGTGCAGGATAAACAAAAATGTAAGACCTTGTCAAGTATTCTTACGAAACTTTAAATGTGCATTACATTACCTACCTACTGAACGTATTTATATATTTATGTTGAAATCTAAATAGAAGATAACCTTGTCAACAAGTAGTTAGTACCTCTATATAATCAGCAAACTTATACTATAGGGATACAATAAGTACAATTTGAATATCTGTATAAGAACATAAATGGCTAAACATAKAATGAGTAAAATTCATATTTAGTCAGCACAGTTATTTTAAACACATGTAATAATATTCAGTAGGTACATTAATTATTCATAAATAATTTTTTACAAATACATTTTATTATTACATAACCGAAAACTCGGAATAATGAATAATAATAATAAAGTACACATTATAAAATGTACATATTTTGTAATTTTTAGATCACCAAKTTTATTATTATATTATTTCGATTGTGTTATTTTTTACAAGTTTTTATTGCGCTAAGTTACTCTTTAGCATGGAAAAATTAAGAAGGAATCAGTGTTTGTAGGTACTATACCTACTTATATATAGTATATACAACAGCTAGAGTACTATAGAAAAAGAGCATCATTCAATAATTATTATATTTACGTATATTTGAAATGTTTTACTTCTGTATATGGCAGGTAGAAACTATAAACTATAAAGCCAAATTTTTAATGGTCCCTTTTCATTTCGAACATTTCAGGAGATAACATGAACCTTTTTCTAAACGAGAACTGGCAAGATTTACTGAAAGAGTTCGGACCTGCYATCGGTGACGCGTTTGGAACGATTATGAAGAACACGCTGGGATCGGTATCAGACCTAGTGCCATACGACTTTATTTTTCCAACTAGTTAATATTTATACTTCTGTTATTATTTATTGTTATACATATTATATTTTTATAAGCCTCATAAACATACGTTGAATTAATAATATGTAACACAAGATAAATATTCATAGTATCTATATTATATTATATAGCCAATCACTCTAAATACCACCAAAAATCAATAATAATTTATACAAATGCATAATATTAAATTAAAATTACTGATTACTATATTTACATAATATATTCTTCATGCGCATAAGCTAAAATAAAGCAACTGCACTGGTTTTTTTTTCTAATTTATCAGTTAAACACAATACCCCAAAAAATAAAGTAAGGATAAAATAATAGTTTGGTAGGTATTCTAATAAACAATTATAATTATTAGGTAACTGGTAACTGGTATCAATTACATCAAYAAGTTCCTCATTTTGTGTACTAATATAAAATAATTAAGTATAAGGTATTTATATTCTAAGACCAGAGGGAATAAAAATAAATAATACAAACATATTATAGTTTGTAAAATATAAGGAAGTATT